GGCCGTGCTAAATTGTCCCGTAGTGCCCAGGGATGTGCAGGTTAGGGTGGATTGGCCGTGCTAAATTGTCCCATAGTGTCCAGGGATGTGCAGGTTAGGGTGGATTGGCCGTGCTAAATTGCCCCATAGTGCCCAGGAATGTGCAGGCTAGATGGATTAGCCATGGGAAATGCAGGGTTTCAAGGATAGGGCAGGGTGCTGAGTCTGGGTGGGAAGCTCTTCTTAGGGTTGGTATGGACTTGTTGGGCCAAAGGGCCTGCTTCCACACTGTAAGGATCCCGTCGCCACCCAACCCCGCTCCTGTCCCCACCGCAGCCCCATAAATACATCCTTTTCCAGTATTTATCTGACATTTCCTGTAGAATCTGCTGCCAGCACCCCTTCAGGCCTCGTGCCCCACATCACAAAAACTCGAATGGTAAAATGACGAGGGTTGAAAGTCACTTTGTAGCTTGCACAGCATTTAGACAAGCAATGTTCTCCCATAGAAATGGTCCATTCGCTGAAGGAAGGCAGATATAATCTAATCATTGATAAACATCAGCAGTCCAAAGAGGTACAGAAGGCTCTCGATGTGACCCTTAAAGGGGGCGACCATAGAACAGCACAGAGGCTATCATTCCACCTGTGTCTGTTCAATACATTCACCGTCTATTCTAATCCCATTTATCTGATCTGGGTTACCATTGTCACCATTCCATTGGTATCTAATATGCTTCACTATCTGCTTTCCAGATTAACTGATTTCTAAATTAAGTCATGGCAAATTCCTCAACTTTTTAATTCTGTCGGAGGGTCAGCACTGAGGGACCGGGCGCTGTCGGAGGGTGCCATGTTTCTGATCAAACATTAAACTGAGACTCCGTCAACCCCCTCAGCGTATGGAGTTGTGGGGGGCTGGGGTGTAAAAGATCCCAGGACTGCTATTAAAGGAAGAGTATGGTGGGAAATTCTCCCCAGGGTACTGAGGGCAATATTTACCCCTCAACCAACATAACAAAATGCAAATGATCTGGGATGTGGGATCTTGCTGTGCGCAAATGTGATGCTGTGGTGAACGATCGAAGATAACGAAACGGTTAATGTGTCAGTGAAGCTGAAGCTCTGCCCGCTCTGATACAGCCCAGCCACTGGGTAGGGAGGGGGTGCTGGTGAGCAGTGTGGTGTTGGCGGTGGGCTATGTGCGATTAGGGGTTGGGAATGGTGGATGATGGTGGTGTGGGGATGGGATTGGTGGGGAGGGTTGGGGGAGAGTGGATGGTGGGGTTAGCTGGGGGGGGGTTCTGGGGTTGGGGCGTGTGTGGGGTTGGGGGGGGGTGGGCACTGTGGGTTTGGGGGTGCACGCTGGGGTTGGGGGCTGGGTGTGGGATTGGGGTGGGGTGGAGTGGGGTTGGGGGTTGTTTGGGGATGGACAGTGTGTGCTGTATGGGCTGTTTTGGATAGCCCTGGGCCATTCGGGGGCAGAGAGCAGTTAGGCCCCATCTTCTAATGCCCCTCCTGCCCTCTTCCCCCTGGCCCCCCCCAAATGGATGTGACAGCACTGGGAGAGGGGGAGCAGAGGGAGATTTACCAGGACATTGCCCTGTGGGGCTGAAGAGTTTCAGTGATAAACAGAGAGATTGGACAGCCTGGGGTTATTCCCCTTACAGCAGAGGGGCAACATAAGTGAGATGTATAAAATGATGAGGGGCCTTGATAGGGCAGACAGGCAGGAACTCACCCCCTTGACAAAGGGATCAGTGACCAGGGGGCATAGATTGAAGGTTGGGAATAGGAGGTTGAGAAAGGATGTGAGGAAAAGCTTTTAGCCCCCTTCCCTTCCCAGGAGGGTGGTGGGGAATATGGAACTCGCTGCCTGTAAGATTAAGTGGTTTTAAAACAAAAAGCTCATCACATCAAAGATGCACTTGTGATGCCAAGGCTATGGACCAAGTGCTAGGGAAATGGGACTGGAATAGTTAGGTGGCTGTTTTTGACCAGCATGGATTGGACAGGCTGAAGGGTCTCTGTCTGTGCTGTAATGTGACTGATGGCAGCTCTCCAGCCCAGGTCTTATCCCGACTGTGTCCTGTGTTCCAACCTTGCATCAATAAGGTTTCATCTGTTGGCTGTGTGGTTTTCTGAGGTGGGGAGAAAGAGAGGATCCCCCACGGACGGAGGGAGGGAGGGCTCGGACTGAGCTGAGGAGGGATTTGCTCACTCCGCATCAGATAGGGAAGTGGTGGGGTTGGAGAGAGCGACTGTGTAGGCCCCGAGACTGAGACCGCTGAGGGTCGTAGGGAAATCAGCTGTGACCCCGTATTGAATGGTGGGCTAGCCTCTGAGGTGGGGGCGGGGTGTCCAAATGGTCTCCGTCCACTCCTGTCACTCTGATCAGGGCTAGCATGGGGCTCCTGAGGGACTGAATGGCCTGCTCCCAAGCCAAATTCCTCGGGTGGGGGTAAAAGGGGGGGGGGGGGGTTAATGGGAGGCTAGGGGGTGGTTTAGTCTGTTAATCACAGCCTCTGTACTAGGGTTGGAGGGAGGGAGGAAGCAGAGAGAGAGAGGGAGAGACACAGATAATGTGCCATCCCCACCAATGCAGAGCTGCAGGACACAATGGGTTTGAAACCACCGGCTTTGAGCAGCCAGCTGAATAACCCTGCTTCAGATAGAGCAGCAGCCCAGGGGACGGTCCTCTCTCTCTATCCATCTCGGCGTGTGGAATTCTGCAGTGACAGACGATCATCCCCATGTCAGCAATGAGCCACTGTATGTTCCTCTTTACAAGTCACTGTGCAGGCAACTGAGTACTTCCGAGCTCCTGCTGCATGCTGTTTTTTTTCCTCTCTGAATCTCTCGAACACCCCTGACTGTCAAAGGAAATGAATGGCATTTCAGTGTTTGCTTAATCCCGTTCTCCTGTGTCTTGCTGGAGCAGCTTTTGGAAAAGGTGTGTTTTGGAGGTAGCAGCAGTTGGATGGATGATATACCGGGGAGAGGGGGAGCTGGCTGAGGCGGCGGGTGGGGGGGGGGGAGGTTTGAAACTGCTTGTTTTTAAAGCAAAGGGGCCAGTGTCTGTAAGGGATTAAATGCACCCTGGTATTACCTGTGGGTGTTCATTGTTCCTTTCAGAACAGGGAAGGTTTCTAAATGATGGAAATGGCAGGGTCACGTCTGTGTGCGTGTGTGTGTGAGAGAGAGGCTGTTGTTTAGTCAGCTGAGAAACTGCTCAAATGAACTCTGCAAAATTTGGCCATGGCTACTTTCTCCCCAAATAGTGCAGTACCCCTACAGACAGAGGCACACCCACAGCCCCACACGCACACGCACAGAGGCACACGCGCACACACACGCACAGCCCCACACGCACACGCACAGCCCCACATGCACACGCACAGTCCCACACGCACACGCACAGCCCCACACGCACAGACAGAGGCGCACGCACACGCACAG